TGAATAAATCTGATGATATTATCACAGGTGTCAGATTTACATAAATTTCCTATATCAAACATGCAACAATCATACCACCGCATGCGCCCATAACCATGAAATATTTTCCATGGTTGAACTCATGTGCATGTTAAGGCTTTGATCAAGATGCTTTAGCCAGTGTTGACACCAATGTAATCACTTTCATCATGCAAATTATTTTCTTGGTATTGCCAGCCAAGATAAATTTTGGAGCTCCAGAGAGCTTATGATCTGTAACCCGAGAATTAATCTTTTGAAAAATCAATCATCATATTGACCCGGGTACAGTAATTTGCTAGTGATTTTTTAAATTTTGCCTGTTTTGTCTGCACCGGCTTAAGCAATCTGACAACAATGTGATGTATTCGAAACTTCAGAGCTATCTGTGCTCCCCCTCTGAAAGTATATTCACATCATCATATCATCGGGGAGTTCAAAGGTTGATTAGCCTTATATGATATAGGAGCCAAAAGAATAAGTTTTTCAATTAATTGTTGCAGATTAAGTTGTTTCATGCCCAAGCACATATTGTGTTTTCTATATGTGAGAGTGAGATCGCATTATTATTATGATTAATGTTAATATTAATGATGATAATGAAAAAGCATGTCAATCATTTATATCATGATAAATAATTACCTCTGCTATGTAAAACACAATTTTTGTTTCCACATCACTTTGACATTGATGCTTAGGCTATTGTAAACAAACAAAGTCAATCAGTATGAAACAATAACTAGCAAAAAACGTCTCTTTGAATCATATCAAATATTGTTTTGTCAAAAAAATAGCGTTGCACATGTTCGTCGTCAGTTCCAGCCAATAATATTTTATGACACACAAATTATTAATTTGTGAAAAATATTGTGCGATCTTTACATACACACATATGAAGAAATTCCAAAATTTCACTATGCAACATCAGATATAGGAGTGGTATTAACTCAATTGCTTTTTTTCAGAATTTCTCAATCATTAATAAATAATATATTAATGGTCTTATACCATTAACACAAAGAGTTTTCATTATAAATTTCTGAAGACAATCTTTAAAATTATATAATATGCATGTGTGTATATATATTTCCATTTGCAATTTTCTTTACATTGCTAGTATTATTAAACAAATTTTATTTTAATAATGACCAAAATTAATACTGATAGCAAAAGCAACATTGTGTCAATATTAACATCAACAATGACATGGTTCTCATTTCAAAGAATGATTCACTAAAAATTTGTCAAGCACCACAGAGCACCAATCAGTGTAGTTAATGTCAAACTCTTCATCTTCAAAAGCATCATCAACCTCACTGGTGTTAATTTAAATAATATTTTCAATTGGTTACAAACTATAATGAGTGTCATCTATATTATGAACATGCTTTAGTGGATCAGTATAGAAGTGCACGCTTAATTAATAATGAATGTAATCATGCTGGAAGAATGTGTCTTAGAAAATCTAGGATCCCTCCATGTAGAAATAATTTCATCATCCTGAGAATGTTTTATGGTTATGGTAAATAAAAATTCCATTATTAGTGTGTTAATTTTAATTTAAGTACTTTTTATTTTTTAAGGTTCAAATAATGGTATAAATATGGACCTCAGTAGAACTGAAGAAATGACTCATGGTTTTGTTTTCACCAAACTTACAGTGATTGAACTGTTCAATTGTTTATTGGAAATAAGAGATAGAGATTGAAATATACTGGCAATATTAATTACAGTCAAAACTTTGATCAAGCCATTTGTACCATAATAATGATATCAGTTTGATGTGGTTGGGTAGAGAAATATGTACACTTAAAAGTTTTATTAACATAGCAATAAAAATGATATTGATGCCGCACAATTTAGTATCTTATTAATAATGATAATGAATTAGAAGTTTTTGAAATTAGAACTTACTGGAATGTTCAAGTTTGAATCAGTGATTTTGGGATCAAATATTGAATATGGTCAGCTAGTCAAATTATTCTCAAAATATCTGCAAAATCCCTTTTCATTAAAACTTTCAACGTAAAGCCCTTTTAGAATCATATCCTCCTCTTGTGTTTTTTGATTTTCTTTGTTTATTAATTTAGGACAATTTTTCGTGTAAGATCTTTTGTGTAAAGATATTTATTAATGGTATGCTGTAGTCGGGTATATTGTTTTTATATCTCGCCACATTGACTTTAGTTAAAGGATAAAGGTTATGCTTATTTAAAAATAAAATAATGTTGTTCAAGACGTGTATTATAATATGTTGAAATTTCAGAGAAGATTATTATTATTATACTTGTTTTTGAAAAATTGATTTTTTTTTTTTTTTGAAGCGAGAAATATTTTTTCAAAGAAATTTCGGTCAAAGTTTTATTTTTTTTTGTGCAATGTGCGCGAGATTTATCCATCTGGTTTATTAGTATTAGTATCGCATAGTTTGGTTCGGATTATTGAAATAGTTCGAATTAGTTCAAATATTCTAATCAAATTGTTGATATTACAGTCCGAACCCGGTTTATACTTGAAATTAGTGATAGTCAACCGCCCTATGTTAAATGCACTGCTACGAATAGACCGATTCTCTAGATAATGAGGTAGTTCATTCAATGTCAAGAGGTTGATAAGTGGCTATTACTATATTATAATTATAATAGTTTTAATATTTACACAAATATGAGTTCAATTTGTTTATTATTATAATACAAAAATACAAAATAATACAAAAGTGGAAATTAATAGGATAAAATTTTGATTTTTTGCAAGGTTATGTATTGTTAGCACGAAAAGATTCAAAACTAAATAGACAAAAAAAAAACAATTTTTTATATATAATTTTCCCAAATATTAATAATAATGGTCCGTGTTGTACAATTATAAGTCAAATAAATTATTGTGCCATAATCTATATAATAATACAACATCTAATTAGTAATAATTAGTAGATAATAATTTTTAAAAATTTAAAACTTTGTTAATATTAAAAAAGCATCGATATAATGTAAATTTAATAAATTAATAGCGTTTAGTTGATTTTTGCATAATTGTCTTTGTGATACGGTGATTTCATTTGATATTTACAATACTAGCTTCCACAATAATCCCCATCAATTATTTTTGTTTTTCCCATCTATTATTTAAACACTCTTTTTTTTCAATTTTCAAAATTCTTTTTTTTAGAAATAAAAAAATGACTGATTACAAAGTGATTTTTCAACCGTTCATTGATTTATTCAATCAAGGACACGTTCAAGCTGTTTTGTTAGCATGGCTTCCAACAAAAATGGGACCATATTTATCCGGCGTAATGGCTGTAGATATGTTTTTAACAACAATAATTGCATCAGGAATAACAACTATTTTTGCTGCTTTGTATTTGATTGTTGTCAAGATTACAACAGGAAATTGTTGGAACAAAAACATAGTCAAGGTGCAAATTGAACATTATGTAGCCGGAATTTATGGTGACCAGCAAACCAGCATGTTTTATGTGGCAATATCATGGATAATTTCTCAACAAACTAAACAATTATCGAATGGTAGTTTTCTTGTACAATCAGTGAATTCCATCACTAAAGTTGATCCAGAAGATGATTGTGAGCCTCCTGGTTTCAACATATTACCCGAAAAAAATCAAGTGATATCCATTGATTATAAAGGAAGAAAATTCAACGTCACATATAGCATGCCAGAAACTGATGCCGAGAATAGAGAAGTTTCTAACAATAGCAATGTTGGTTATAACCCATCAAGTATAAAACCTATGCCATCAATTTTTTTGACAACGGTGGAAGATTCAAATACAAGTGTTGATGCAGTATCGGACTTTCTCAATGATGTTGCTAGATCATATCTTGAATCGCAAAAGAAATTACGTGTCAGATCAAGATACGAAAGGTCTGAAGGGTATTGGAGCAGAGTACAGGCGTTATCCTCAAATAGAGGTTTGAAGACAGTTGCATTGGAGAAGGCACAAAAATCACTAATTAAAAGGGAATTGGAGACGTTTACATCTGATAAAGACTTTTATCAGAAAATTGGTATGCCATATAGGCGCGGAATTTTACTTTATGGCAAACCTGGTACAGGAAAAACAAGCTTAATAAATGCTATTTCGTCATATTTAAATCGTGATATTTATTTTCTTAATTTAAAGAATATATGCGATGATAATGAATTGAATGCAGCATTTAGTTCTCTTCCCGCCAATCAGATTATAGTATTAGAGGATGTTGATACTCATTCAAAAATTTTACACAAAAGAGAACTTGAAACAAGATGTGATATGTTTCAAAACAAAATCGAAGAAAATAAAGCTGACACTGGTAGAAAAGTTAGTTCTAGATTTTCATGTTTTAGTTTGTCAACATTCCTGGGTTGTTTAGATGGTCATTTAATGTCAGAAGGTAACATTATAATCATGACAACAAACCATGTCGAAGTTCTTGATCCAGCTTGGTAACTAATCTATTAATTTGACGATTTATTTTAAAGTTAAAATTAATAGACCACCGACTGAATCACACATTTTATTTTTTTAGTATTAGACCAGGTCGTATGGATGTACATTTGGATTTGGGATATTGTACACATTATCAAATCAGGAAAATGTACAAAAACATAACAGAAAATCCAAATGCAGAGTTTCCACAAGAATTTCTTGATAAGATACCCGAAAAATTATTGCCACCATGTGAAGTGATGATGACAATGCTTTTATATAGAAAAGAAATTGACATACTACCTGAGAAAGTGTTTGATTTGACTCGTAAGTATCAAGATATGAAACCTGAAGAAATCGCAAAATTAATGGAAGATGAATTAAAAAGAACCAAAAAAGAATCAGCTAGTAATGATAATTTAGACGATGAAGCGAAAGAAGAACCAGTGGAATCAACAACAGCTAGTGGTGATGATGATGGTGATCTTAAATTGAAAGCTAAAGATGATAATGATAAAATTATCGATGATGCCATCGAATCAAAAGAAGCCAAAAAAGATGATAGCAAAATTGAAGAAGGTATAATAGGAAAAAAAGAGGCAAAACAAATTGTTTCGATAGAAATGACAAGAGCTTTAAGTAATGTTACATGGACAAGTGATGATAGTGATAGTAGTACTGATGTAGAAGTAAATAATAATGGGAAATATGATAAAATATGATGAAATTGATGAAAGAAACCGTTTTGTCAACAACAAAAACAATAACTGTAATCTTTTATTCAATTCCATTTATGCTTGTATATATAATATACACACTGTATATATTGAGCATTGCTTCTAAACCTAAATTTGTAATTATTATTATTCGTTTTTAAATTAAATTAAAAACTATTAATACTAATAATACTAATAAAACTAATTTCAAATAAATTATAAATTTTATTCTTTATTTCTTGAATTATGATTACATGAACAATAGTTCTCTGAATCTCAATAGACTTTGTCTCAATTATGTTTTCAGTCTATTATATATCTTTCATAAATAGATCTTTGCAATAGGATCACAATCTTGGACCTTCCTGTCAGTGAATATTCTACAATTCCTATAATTAAAAGGAGACGGTTAAGTAAAAGCCGAATAAATTTTGTGAAAAGAAAATAGAATTTATTTTCCATATTATTAGGGATTGTTCTTTCTTCATTACAAATAAGTATTGACTATAAATTATGTGCGTAATTAGGTCATACAGATATATGAAGATTAAATTACCTCATGAAATGAAAATAAATATTTCAATGTTCATTCAAATGATTCTGAAATAAGCAAAGGAAAAAATAATTACTCGTCTGGATCCTTAATATTAAGCTCTTCGGCAAAAACTGTCATGATTGAAAGTTTAAAGAAACATTACAAATACAAATAAGAAAATATCATAATAATAGCGGTAAAGATAATAGCGGCAGTTGTCATAATAATAGCAGTAGCAGTAATTTCAAATCTTATTTTATGATTTTAATTTCTTCGAAAGAGCCAAACAACAAGAAACTTGTCAAGTTTCGATTTAAAATCATTAATTTCTGGTTTTAGTGATCAAAATGACGATTTTCTTTGAGAACAAGCGCTATATAATAATATTGAATAAACTGTATTGTTAAAAAACATATGAATTGAAACAATTGTTTTATTTTTTATTTTTAAAGTCGAAAAACCTGAATGAACAATAATTCGTGATGGTCAAAATTTTAAAATTACATTAGATAATATGACATTTAATGAAGTATCTGTAAATATTTGTGATTTGGCACTAATTACCAGTAATTATACTTATTTTCTTAGTCATGCCTATGAATCTTAGACATGATAATGGTGTCAGTTGTTAGAAGAATATAAAGTATATAAATTAGTAAAGAAAATCAGAAACTTATATTAAATTAAGAATTTATTCTTATTAATAACTTTTAGCAAATAAATTTTTTAACCGTAATTCAAGAAAATGATAAAAAAAATCTCATTTTACATCGATATAATTGTTGTTATTTATCTTTTAAATCTTTAAACTTTGTAATATTGTAAAAAACTATTTTACATTTTGGATGATCCAACAGTCCGATAACAATAATGTTGAAGCAGTTTACGCGAGAGAATTCATAAGGAGATAGTTATCAATGAAATGGAGATTTTTAATAAAATAAGTTTAATGCCCGTTGTGTATAACGGTCAAACGTCCATCGCTGTCCCTGAGGTTGGATCTGGTTTTATTTACAAGAACCGGCTTT